TAATGTACTATAACATGTACTATATATTATATATACTATGATATAATATTGTTCTGTTTTATGAAAATATTAATATTCTTTGGCACAATATTTCCTATAATACTGCTAACAAATACAAACAAAGTTAAAATAAATGAGATCAAAGTTAAATATTGGTTTATTTATTCTTTGTCCTATTTTAAATTATCTTTGTATCATCAGATGTATAGGTGAACCTCTGATAGCAAATTTAAATAAAGTAGCTTTAAAGCAGTCTTAGTATTAAAAGTAATGTTGATGCTAAGAAATAATTTTCATTATTTCTGAGGCCTGTAGTGTTTTTAGAATCTTTTTTTTTGTGAGCGATTGTTTCAACAAAAAATTAATACTTCCCTAACTACAAGATTTTGAAGGAATTGGAATATTCATATTTAGGCAAATATTCATGTTTTTGGATGGATCTTGAGATTCAGAAACGTTTGATTGTTGATCTGTGGTTTTCTCTTCATTTCTCATTGCACATATCACATCTGTGAGAGCAACTATATAATTTTTTGCTAAAGTTAAAGTTTCAATTTTGGATAATCGTCTTTCCTTAGATACATGTGGAATTACTTCACGTAAAGACTATAAAATATAGTAATTTAAACTTTTCTGAAAGTAGATAATTTGTTAGAAGTGATTAAAAACATCTTTACCTGAAAAGCATCATTCAAACTGTGCATTCTCATTCTTTCTCTCTCATTGCTTTCCAATCTCCTTAGAGTTCTTTCTCTAGGTGTTGTTCCTCTAGATGATTTTGATAATTTCAATCCTGACTTTTCACTTCGTTTACTGTTTCGCTGTACTGTTTTGTTAGCCTGTGATTGTTGTTTAGGCCATTTTCCCTCCCAGTTATCCCCGTTCATTACTTTAGATGTCATTCAATAATATTTCTGATGAAATGAATATTATTAATGTTATATAAAAATCACTTTTTTATTAAGAACTTTTGTTGTTTTGTTTTTAAAGTGATAAATAATTTAATTTAAGTAATTACATTAAAAAGTTATTTTATAAACAATACTTCAAGGTCAATGTATGGACAAGTAAATATTTTTAATTACAAAAAAGATATTACTTAATATTTAAAATAATATTTGTATACTTACAATTTACTAAATATTATTTCAATATTAACGGGTTAATGAAAAAATAAAGTATAAGTGTAACAATATATTTAAATTTGTTATTATTTCCAAAGCGCGAATTTTTCGTTGCGCTTTTGTTCGATGTATTTGTAAATAAAATAAAGTAACGCTTAACTTATATTGTGCGATACATTTTCAAATATTTGAACTAGCTGCACGCTACCGCGTGTACTTGTTGAGCCACGTTGGAATGACGACTGACGTTGCGATGCCGGGGTGCGGCCGAAACAGCCTTCCACCCCCGAGAACTATGCGATCTACCCTGTGACCTTTTCTTAATAACTTTTCTACAAAATTTTGTTTATTTTGTAATTTGTTTTTTATTTATATTAAGTTGATTAATGATATAACACTTATATTTAAAAAATTACGTTCTTAATATTCTTACTAGGATGTAGCATTGATAAAACCTAAAAATGAATAATATCCTGAGGAATCATAATTTACCATTTATGATGTCTTGGATAAGTTTTAAATTCAATTTTATAGTAATATGTGTAATAACATTTGTTCATATGAAATATAAATTCGTTAATAATTTGCAGCTTCTAATATGGAAAAATGTATGTAATATGTACAATCACATTTTTAATAGACACCTATTGTACAATACACATAATACTTTGGTACGGGTGCGCGGCTACAGGTGGGCGTATGACGTAATTCGCCCACGCGGATCTTTCTATCTTTCTATAATCATACTACCACCGATCAAGATAGTATGAATATATACTTAAATGTATCATACATGCTATTACATGCAATTCAATCGAAATTTTATTATACGTAAAATAAAAT